ACTAGTACTTACTACTTATTCTACTTTTCCTACTTTGTGTTTTTTTCACTTATCGCGAGTCTTCAGGGTACGGATCCCCTGTGATAAACGAGGGACTAGTGTCGGATCCCCTGCGATAAACGAGGGACTAGTGTACTGGACGTTTGACCAGCCTTCATGGCAGAATGTGGAGAGCTCAGATTAGTTGGTTTTCTGGCACAAACAGGTTTTTAATCAGAGTCCACAGATTTCAGGTTGGGTCGAGGCCGCCGGGTCTTTGGAAAGGTAATTTGATAAACTTCCTGTTAGCAACTTTATTTACTGTAATCAGAGATGAGTTTGTATTCAGGGTCCTTGTCTTGTTGGAACATCACATTTCAGCCGTCTAGGTGTTGATTTGAGATGAAGTTGAAGATTTCTCATTTCATCCACTTTGTTAAATACACTGGCACTGCAGCATGATGCTACCACCACCATGCTTGACAGTTGGAACCCTTCTGAACATAGTTCTGGTCACTGTGGCCGGACAGCTCCACCTTTGTCTTGTCAGTCTATCAAACCTGTCTCTCAGCTGGTCTGTCCATGTGGACAGCTGCAAACTTCAGTCCAGCTGAGAGCCCGTACCTTCTCAGTCCATGTCGATGTAAAACTGGCACCACCGTGTGGGCACCGTGTGTTCCAGCAGCTTCCAGTTCATGGCCACAGCCTTACTGGTTCCTGGTTGTTCCTGAACATCTTTTTATTTGAGGGGACCACATGTGTATGGGTCGGTCCAGCGAGTTCTGTCCAACAAAACATTTTTATGTTGGCAAAGAGAAACGAGTAGCTGCAGTTGATCTTGATCCCTAAAATTATATTAATAACCACTTATTAAAAAATTGAGGAATGAATGTTTGTATGTAAATTTTTGACATGCATGGATTAAAGAAAATCCACAGTGAATTATAATGGATGCAATTATTAATTTTTTTAATCCAGAACAGCCAAGGACCCAGTATCGATGGAACATTGATGGAAATGTGCAGCCAACAAACGGTGAAGCCCTGGACTCTGGAGACGTCAAGAGGACAGCTTGTTGAAAACCCAAAGACAGCTGTCCCTCTGGAAGACCAGAGGTCAACCAGCAACATTTGACTCTTCAAGATCTGCTCAAGAAAAGAATCAAGAGGTTCTTCTGAAAAAGTCTTGTCTCCTATTTGTAGATTTGTTTTGGACTTCACGGTCCAAAAAAGATCTTTTGACTTTAATGTGCTCAAGAGACGCACGTATTGACACATTTAAAAAAATCTACTGGACCACTAAGAAACGTTGCGACATCTCAAAGTTCTTATCGCAGCAGAGAAAGATGTGATCAGTGCCTTGAAAGACCTCGGTGCAGAAGAGCCTGGAGTCCACACGAGCTGATGACCCCAACAGTCAGGAGTCTGTGGTGGACAGCAGCTGAAGATGAAGCCTCCTCAGACTGCGGGCAGGAGCTCGTCTGGTCTCTGGAGACTGAAGTTCAGCCGGCACTTCTTACAACGTGACGTGGAACAGCTCGGGAGTCCTGAAGGAAACAAGTCCCCATGAGCTCAGCGGTCGCCAGACGTTCCACAGACTGTGAGTGAAGCGGAGCGGCCATGTTGGAACTATACGTCAACAGGAACGTTCTCTTCCACACATTCTAACACGCTGGAGCTTCTGGTTGCTATGACGACTCGAGGACAGTGTTGTCAGCAGTTTATTATGACCGATAACGAGGCTACGTCTGTTCGAAAGACGAGAACGAACTTTTCAAAGTTTCTTGCTCAACGGTTGAAATTGATAAACAGTAAGAAAACTCGTGACGTTTTTGCTACGTTAAAAGAAACGTTTAAATTTCCCTTGTCTTTAAAGTTCATATACGATTTTTCTTGTGTTATCAGCTCTGACAATGAATTACACAAAAGGAGAGAAATGGATCATTTTAAACCTTTTAACCTTTTATGATGCTGTCAATCAAAATATTTATGTAGCGATGTGTTGGTTACAGATTGGTTAGTTTCCAGTGGAACCAGTATGTGGGCTGGATGAATACCCTGACCCTGTCCAGACTCACATCAGCTCAGCTAAAACAGACTTCAGAGGGAGGAAAGGAAGGTGGTGGTTTTCTCTACTACACTGAATTATCAGAGTCTGTGAAGTGCAGTGACCTTAGAAGAAACCCAACACCGAGCTGTTGCACGCGTTCTTCCATGAGACAAGAACCAGTGGAGGTGAAGCTACAACGCACCATGACTCAAACTCCAGGACCAGTGAAACCATTCTGGGCTTAAAGACAGATTCACTTTGTGACAGATTGACTTTTTCATTTATTTAATTTAAAGAGTCTGCTCTCTTTCTTTTTTACCATTTCAAACACAAGTTCATCATCTTTGGCCTTAAGTTACTAAAAACATTTGTTCAGAGCCCACTTTATGTTTGGTTGATATGTGAATAAAAGTATTTTATACTACAATATGTATTTCATGTCATTGATGTCCAACTAGTAAAAGAAGCTTTTATCAAAGTCCGGGCTAATCTGAACTTGTTCCAGTCGTATTGTTTCTGCGTGATGTGTGAAGAGAACATCAGAACGTCCTGAGGTTTAAAACCTGGCTGGTCCAATGGACCCTTCAAACTTTAGGTTTGTGAGCAGCTGTTGGACTTCAGCCAGAAGTCACTAAAATGTCCCCGCAGCAGAGAAGACCTGGACCAGACCATTATTGAGGACGTGTAGCCTGGATTTCATGCAGACCTTCAAGAACCACTGCTGTTGTGTGAGAGAACACCTGAATGCACTAAAGAGACCTGGAGACATCAAGACGTTCCTTCAGAACATCATAACTTGGCCTCCATGTGTGAAAGAATGGTTGTAGAGTCCACAGTGGCCACTTTACAGCAGGTCCAGCCTGTTGAACTTTGTCATACACGGAACCATACATCTGCACTACCATCAGGTTCTCTAGACAACAGCTCGAGTCTGGAGTTGGTGAGTGGGCTCGTCCACCAGACTGGCACCAGCTCCCCACAGCCCACAGGATCCAGCAGGTCAAAAAGATGGATAGAGGCCTATCACCTGCTTTTTGCCACTGAAAGAATTGTAATAAAACTTGCAGACATTAATCAATAATCAACTTTTAGAGTCGGCCCAATTCAAGATGGCCACCGCAGCAAAGTGATCTAAATATAAAACGACTGGCTGTAACTTGTCACGTTTACAGATTGAGCTGCTGAATCATGCACAAGCATTGTGCAACATCTCAACTTTGGCATCAACTTTATCTATTAGCAAAATATCTCGTGAACTACTGGAGATCTTGATGAAACCTTCAGAAAGTGAGGACTCGGTGAACATTACAACTGAACTCTGAGTCAGTCCAATTCAAGATGGCCGCCGCAGCCATTTGACCTTCGTCTGAAACTCGTCTGACATAATTCTAAGGTTTGACCAAATGTCTGTATGGAGAGGATCAGGACCACGGTGCAATCATCTCCCCCTCCATCCTGTTTTTGTATGGTCAGAATCCAGGAAACCTTTGTGGCCCTGAAGTACAGCAACCTTCACTCTCATGAAATTATTGTTTTTTTATACAGCTGTTCCAAAACAAGCCTCACACACCTCATTTTAGTCTGCTTTAATTTTCTTCCAACTTTGAAACAAACAAAAATAAGAATTCCTCTAACATTTTTTATTGAAGTTAAACATTTACACAATTGTCCATACCTAGCAACGACGCCTTTAATGTACAAAAAGACACGTAATGAACCACATACGGTACCTTCTAACATTCATCAGTGAGAATTCAGCTGGAAGAGGCCACTACTTCTCCACAAATCTTTTATAGATGAAACGTTTCGATCATTAACCTCCCACTGCCCCTTCAAGTTAATATTGAAGTAAAAAAAATAGTAAATTCACCTTCTGCTTTTACAACCAGTTTATTGGGTACACCTGGCTGAAATACACGTCAGCATCCACTTTCTCACAGGGGCCTCCTTTTTTTAAATCAGTCATGGACTCAGTAGCAGCAAAACGATCAAAGCTGCCACGAACCGGATCAGGAGCAACACTTTGGTTCAGAATTACTGCAGGCGCCGCCCTGAGTTGGGTGTACCCAATAAACTGTCGGTTTGTCTGTTAGGCACGTTCTAGTGGCAGCGAGTTGATTCTGAGCTCCTGCGCACGAGGACAGTCGGTCACTTGTGAAATTTCTTGCTGGAATCTTTTGCGTGATCCAGGAGGAGCTGGCACGGCGTGAACTGGTTCCCATAGACGGCTTCAAACTGCCTCATCTTCTCGACCAGCTTGTCCGCGCCGAAGGTGTCCACAAATCGGAAAGGTCCTGGAAGCATTCAAATCTCCAGTTAACGTTTTATTACAACAAACGATGCAAGTTCAGCGTTTTGATTTTGTTCCTTCACAAATCTGTGACGACTGTTTGAAATTCTTTTTTAAATTTGTACGTGTACTTAAAAACAAAACAAAAACCCAGAGGACTGACGAGCAAAGTCCAAGATGTGTTATAGAAGTGTGAGAAAAGGTGAACACAGAACTTACAAACCGTCTTTATGTTTCAGAAACAAAAAATAGAATCATTTAAATGCTCGTATTAGAAAAAAGAACAAAGCAACAATTAACAAAATGAGCAACACACAACTGAAGCTCACATTTTCTACATTTGTCTTCATACTTTTCTTTTTATAAACTCAGTCAAATTTCTCCTTGCTGAGGAGTTAAAGATATTTTAAATATTTCTCTTCGAATTTGTCCAGTAATTCTTTGTTTTTTTTCTTTCATACTTAATTTTAGAGGTTTAAAAATCTACTGAATCTTGAAACTTTAATGCATTTAACTGAAAATAGTTCAACATGTTGTTTTTCTACAAGTTGTTTTATTCATGTGAGTTGTTTTTATTTAAGTAAAACCAGATTTAGTTTGTTTTTAATGCTGTCTTCCACACTTCCAAACAGGAAGTTTTGTATATCTGTAGAAACAACAGTAACGAAGCCTCATCGTTATACATCATCAGTGCCATTGATGGAGATTTTTATTTGTGCGATTTCCAAACAAATTTTATGTCCATAATTACTCAAACTTAATTTCAAACACTTTCATTGTAACATCATTTGCAAAGAGGAATTGAATAATTTAAAAACAAATTTGTATCAACTGCAAAAAGTAAGAACGGTTTGAATTTTGCAAATATCATTTAGTACAACAGAAATAACACTGGTCCTAGTACCCAGTCTTGAGGAACGCCTAATTAAAAAAGCTATTTAGACAGAGTAGCCCTCTTATACCATATCTTTGTATTTTTGTGGCAATATTTTATGATCAAAAGTACAAATGCTTTTTTTATCTAACCCCAACAACATATTCTTTATTTGAAGCAGCTTCCATGAGCGCAAATATTTTATTTTTTTTACTGTCTGCAAAGTACATCTTTTGTAATTACACCTTTTAGTCAAATAATGTTTTAATTGTAAGAACTGGGTTCAGAGCGTTCAGGTCTGTTCAATGATGAGTGTACGTTTTATCGAGCACAACTCTGACCTCCAAGGAAGGGGGGGAAGCCGAGCCCAAACACAGCCCCGATGTCTCCTTCCAACGGGCCGTTCAGGATGCTTTCTTGCAAACACAGCAAGGCCTCGTTGACAAATCGTGACACAAGCCTGAACTGCACGTCAGAGTCTGACGAGCTGCAAAACAAGAAACACAATTTAAACGTTTGGACTTAGTGGGAGAAAAAAGTTCAGAGTGAAGAAGGTTCTCAGATTAAACCGAAGTTTAACGAATAGCGTGAGAAATAAACTGCTGCAGAGTTCCTTCTAAACTTTGCATAAATCTGATCATCTGAGCAAAGTGTCAGGAACCGATGTAGTCTGCCATCACTTGTGGCGTTCACTTCTTCATGTCCAACTTTTGTGATCGTTATATCTGGTCTTACACAGCAGGATTTGGTGTAATCCTAAATTTATCAAGAATGTCTCCAATCTCTGGGTTGACTTCTTTGACTTTGCTTCCTGGTTGGTAGATGTAGCAACCTTTTCCTGATTTGCGTCCTGGACAAACGGATAAAAAAAAAAAAGATTTAAATGTTTAAACAAATCAAAACCCAACTACTCAATTCCTTTAAATGTGGGGACAGTACTTGACCGAGTCTGGAGCGTACCTTTAAATCCCAGGTCCACCATGGTTTTTAGAACCCCCACATCTCCACCACCAAAGCGAGAGCCAAAAGCTTTGCCCAGGTCTTCAGCTACGTGCGCTGCCACATCAATGCCGACCTCATCAGCCAGCGTGGCAGCACCCACTGGGAACCCAAAGCTTGTCGTGAGGGCATCCAGCTTCTTGGGGTCAACACCTTCCTGCATGTGGACAAGGACGCTCACAGTTGTTCCGACTCGAGCTCAGCTTGAAAATGCAGACGGTTAACGAACTGGACCGCAGCACGACAAACCTGCAGTACTCGCACAGCTTCAGCCAACATGGGAGCCAAACACCTTGTTGTGTAGAAGCCAGGTCCATCCTGCAAAGACATTTGGGAACATTTGAATCATTATGCCAGAACTTGACCTTTGACCTGACACTGAGCTGAATACTAAACGCTGCACAGCATCAGCTCTGACCAGCTGGTTGACTGTTGTCGCCGAGTCCTGCTCTTGTGTTTGCCATGTTCACTCTTTCCTTCTTTGTAGTTCGTGTAAGCTTTGTGCTCATCACATCACAACGTCTGAAAGCCTCCAAATGAACAAAGCTCGTCTCTCATCTGTGACTGCTGCATGAGTACGCTCTACAATTCATGAGTAAAGTACCGGTAACACCAGTTTTTGGTAAAATGACAAAAGACAAAGCTTTACCGCTCCACAGAAAGAATCCGGTCATTTTTAGAGCACCTGTGGATCGGCTGTAAGCCTTTATATACTTTTTGATACATGTTTGGAACATGAATAATTACAAAGAGAGAAAGAAGGAACGATAGAACAAACGAAGGAACAAAATAAAGATAACAAACAGAACATCTCACCCCGACAACTATAATGACTTTGCCCTGCTTTAAGCCGACTTCCACCGCCGAGGCTGTCGTGTCCTTAGACGTCTTATCTGTGGTTATAATCTCCAGAAGCTGCATCTTGTCCACTGGAGAGAAGTAGTGCATCCCAATCACCTGAGGACAAGCAGAAAAGATTCACAGTCAAGAGTTATCCTTGGAATTATAAACACAACAGCTCTCAAGTCCAAACCTTGTCTGGTCTTTTGCTGGCAGCAGCGATGTCCTTGATGGGCAGAGCGGATGTGTTGCTCGCAAATATGCAGTGAGGGGGCACCACCTGCAGGGAAAGGGTTGTTAAATCAAAATGCAAAGTCTGCAGACTTGGTCCGACAAAAGCAGCTGGTTTGTGACTTACAGCTTCCACCTGCTTCAGCACAGCATGCTTGATGTTGATGTCTTCAAACACTGCTTCAATGACCATGTCAGCCTTTTCGAAGCCCCGGTAATCCAGCTGGCCGGTCAGGTTGGACAGGATGGAGTCTCTCTCGAACGAAGTGATGCTCCTCTTCTTGGTCTTGTCATTAAGCCTCGATTAAAATGAAAGTTAGAAAAGATGAGCAGCTGTTTTCCAACTCTGGGCGGTTTGTAGATTAAATGTTGCTTTCCTGATGACGTCATGTTTGCTCACATTAAATTTTATTTAGCCCCCTCTTCTTGAAGAAGACTAAAGTCTGTCAGTACAATCCCTCCAACAGGGCTGCTGCATGATGGGACTTGTAGTTTTGTTACAGGGTAATAACTAAAAGGTTCAAGGTTATTTATTGTCATTCACATGTGGTACATGAGGTGGAATGAAACTGTGTCCTCAGTCTGTAAACAAAAAAGCCAACTGGTTTTAGTCTTTTAATGATTAAACACTAAAACCAGCAGGCTTTCAACGTCCCCATCTCAATCGAGTTGTTTAAAACAAAACACTTTGTCCCAAAGAAAACTCTTTATCGAGACGTGCGTTCACTAATTAAGCAAAGACAAACATTTGATTTTGAACTTAGTGCCTCGATTAACGCATTAATGATGTCAAACACATCGAAGCTCTTAATACTTTGTCCACAAAAAGTTATAAATTTGTTTAGTTTTCTTTACAGTATAAAAATACATAAGTCATACACAGAACTTATTGATAAATAAAACCACTTTCAAAAGTCCTTAAACTAAACTGGCAGGAAGACGTGGTCGACTTGGGGGAGCTGGGAACAGCAAATATATATTTTAATTTATTTATCAAACCCTTTGAACATCAGCACTTTAGAAGTTTTGTTATAAAATATTTATGATTTTTGCCGTTTTCAATCTGTGCTTCAGTTAAAACATTAACTTCCTGTTACATTCATTTACATGACTGTTTATTTGAGTATGATAAAAAAGTGACGTTTAAAAATGTAATATTGTTAAGGGGCTGTGAAAAACGAACACATACGTGAAGAAGTTAGGCGTGCACATTGTGAACGCAGCTGATGTGAAAACCCACCTACCCTTTATAAACCTGCTGCTCTCCTCTGGCCAGCCCCTCCACTGTGGTGTCCTTCAGGATTGTGTGCACACCTTTGTCCACGGTCACCTGGGCGATACCTGCTCCCATCAGACCTGCTCCCAAGATGGCCAGAGTTCTGGAAAAATAAACAAATAAAAATGGACCTTCCAGTAATGGCAGACCCAGCTCCATCACCACCAGCACAGATTTAAACTGGACTGGTCAGAAATAAAACCAGACCATTAAGGTGCCGGTCCTCCCACAGCCGTCCAAACTTACTTTACTTCTCTCTCAGGAGTCCCAAAGCGATTTTTCTTGCACGCCACTTGACCGTGATACAGACCAATCAGGGCTGCTGATTCTGACGTCTTCGCCAGCTCGCCGAAATTCTGTGACAAATGTGAAAATGTTACGTTGAGTTTCCAGAAGGGAACGTTTAGAAATTACTTTCAGCTGTTGTGTCGATACAGATCTGACGTCAGTGCTCGTTGAAACGTTTCAACTCAAACTACCTTCAGAGGAAAAGGGTGACACGGGGGAGGATTTTCACTCCCGTCCCACTCCCACATTAAAAAAATCTTGTCTCATCCCAATCACATGCGTAACATTAAAGTTGATTCTCATCCTGCGGGAATCCCGTGACCCCTGGGATTCCCAAAAATCAACTAAACTGCTCAGGGGCCACAGTTACTGAAAGCCAAGAGCTCATCCAGCAGTTACCGTCATTAAGGGAGTTTGTTTTACAGTTTAAAATCTAGTTTTATTGAAATATGAACACACTGGTGGGCCGAACTGAACTCACCCGTGGGCCTGACTTGGCCCCCGGGCCGCCAGTTGAATAGTGCTGTTATAAAAACATCAACAGAAGGTTCTGTATGTATAATCTGAATAAATCATAAATAAAAAATGTTTTGGGTACGTAGTTTACAGAGCGTGAACGAGGTGTCAGACAAAACAACCTGAAAGCAGGAGAACTTTACCTGAGACTCCGCCAAGTATCCTGCAGCAGGACCCTGTTCGATTCCTGTCTTCACACACTGGAAGACACAAAGATGTTTTAATTATAAAACCAGCGAACAATAAAAACTGTGAAAAGAAACTGCACTGAAGGAGACTGGACTTACTTCAATGATTTTTAGTGGCGCTGGGTAAAGCCCTTTGCTCTGTTTCATGACTTTACCATGGACTGTTTTGTAAATTTGATTCCGTACGAACTCGAAGCTCATCACGTAGTCTTGAATTTCTACAGTTAGACCGTTAATATGTGGTTAGGACAAAGAGCTGACTTTGTGACAGCAGATCTGAACACCAAATAAAAGGCAGAGGAACTTACTTTGCATCATGTTTTTCTCTTTGTGAAGAGGGATTTTCTTGCTGGCGATGCCTCTGGCACATTCAACAGCAACTTCTTCCAGGTATTCAATAGTTCTTTCCTCTGGACTCTTCAGTCCCGGCCCTAGAACACAAACCACAACTGTAAATCATATTCACTCAAAAGAAAGGCTCAGTTTACCACCCCTACTTACAATAAATAATACTTTAAAGAATTTATCTAAAGCAGTTTGTTGTCGAGTTTTTACCAAGAGGGTCTACAAGTTGGTGGACGAGCCCCATCTTCTTGGCTTTATCTGCTCTTATGTTTCGTCCTGTTAGCATCATGTCAAAGGCACTGGGAAGACCAACCTACAAAACGTGACAGCAGACACAGGAAGACGAGTGAGTCGAGTCATTCAGTAAGTTTGAGAAGCTCAGATCATTTGTAAATCAAAGCAGTCGACAAGGCCCCAAGTTGTTTTGTATTTCTGATTGTTACCTGCCAGTAAAGGTGTGTTGTTTCTACACGTCTCTGTGCGCTTGTCTTTCTGTCATGCAAACATCTCATGGACCAGAGGCTGGATTTTAATGAAACTCAAACTGTCGTGTGCACATCTACAACTGATTAACTTCTGGAGTAAACTCGATTCAACATGGCCACCATGGCTAGCTGACAGTAAGTAACATAAAATGACAAGACCTCAGTTCATTTTCAAATACTCAGATTACACTTGATGGGGCAGTAACTAAGAGTCATTCACAACACACACTTTGTGCTCACACATTAATTACGTTTATTTTCAACCAAAAGACAAGAGCTCTATAGTTTCTCAACAAAAGACAACCTTAGTTTAAACCTATGGTGGGAAAGGTAGCGGGTGATATGCATCCTTTCCAAAAAGTTGAAATAAAAATAAAGTGCTAAGTCCTTACTAAGATCAGTTTAACATGAAGTTTACATTTACTTAGATTTCCATAAATGGCATCCATAATTTTTACTGTATCTAAACTGCTATTGGATTTGTCAATCAAAAAAATAGTTGTTCAGCCTGTAAAAGATCAAGAATGACTTTTACATTTAAATTGTAGTGGACATTTTACCCAGGCTTGAGAGCAGCACAAGAGAAATACTGGTTTACGCTTTGTGGCGGACAACCCCTTATGAGACCAGGAGTAAAAGTAACAGACTACTTAAATGTTGCTAAACTTTCAGGGTTTAAACATTTTTGATAGAGTACGCAGCCATTCTCCACCACGGCTAATTAAACTCTATTTTGTTAGAGAGGACTAGACAGAGCATTGGAAGTGGGGGCAAATAGGAAAAAGAGAAATATAATTTGATACAAACCATTTTTGGTAGTCTCTGTGTTCCACCGGCTCCAGGTAAAAGACCGAGCATTACTTCAGGAGTACCCAAGATTGTTTTCTTGCTTTTTGTTGCAATTCTGTACTGGCAGGCAATGGCAAACTAAAACACACACCAACAGCCCGTTACAGAAGGCAGTTATTCAGATCGTTCTCTTCAGACTAAAAGGCCTTTCCTTTACCTCTAAGCCGCCTCCTAAACAAGAACCATTGATGGCAGCAACAATGGGCTTTGGAGAGTTTTCAATCTGCTCGAACATCTTCTGACCCTCCTGAGAAAGTTTACTAACTTCTTCCACACTGTCGCAGGCCTGGATCATACTGTTCAGGAGCACAAGGGAGCATTCAAACAGATTTAATGGTCATTTATTCTTATTATTATGGTCAAATTCCAGAACAAGTCAGGGGAGTCAGCTCTTACTTAATATCAGCTCCTGCAATAAAACATCCTGGCTTTGAGGAGATGAGGACAGCACTTTTGACGGCATTGTTGGCCCACACTTCATTCATTACTTCTGTCATCTCCTTTTGCATTTGAATGGACAGCGTGTTCACCTGGGGGAAGACATACGTTATATGTATATATTATAATATATATGCATTTTTCTGCAGAATTTAAAAGTGTACAGTTCTGGATTTGCTTCAAACGAGCCCACACCTTGGAGTTTGGGTCATTAATTCGTACAACAGCAACATCACCCTTGACTTCATAATTCACATGGGTTCGAGCTAAAAACAAAGAAAAGTAAAAACATGTCAGAGGGCAAGGCATGGAGGATAAATTAATCACATTTACTTAAACACTTTTTAAATTACCGAGCACGGCAGGAGCTACTGAGAAGGTTCGAAAAGTACTGCCTGAAAAAACAAAAACACAACGGCACATTGTTACAGTTCAAGTACTTTCTGCGATACTCTGAACACATATTTCTAAACATTATGATCTACTCCCACACATTTAATCCCCAGCATTCCTTGAAACATACATTTGGCACATTGCTTGTCACCTTTTGTGCAAAAGTTTTACACCAAGATCAAGATGAGGGGTGTAGCTAGTCAAACACTGTATATTATGCTACAATCTCATGGGATATTAGAAGATCTAGCACATTTTGTTGGAACTCAGGCGTGTGTGTTGTGAATGACTCCCAGCTAAAGACATCCAACTTGAGTTCAGTATTTGTAAAATGGAGATATAGCCATTTCTGTGTTAGCTAAAAGCTGCAGTGTCCATCTTGAACTGGGTAGACCCCAAACATTAATGAGTTGCAGACGTCCAATGATTTCTTCCTGAGGGGTTCACCAAAATCTTTCCAGTGTAAGTAAAGTTTATTTATAGAGCGCTTTTCACAGACGTAAAATCACAAAGTGCTGTACAATACAAATCAACGCTAAAATATACAAAGAATAAAACAAGCATAAGAACTACAAGAAGCACAATAAAATCATGACATAAAAGCCTGGGAGGATAAAAGTGTTTTCAGTTGCTTTTCAAAAACCTCAACAGTGTTTCATGAGATATTTTGCTAACAGCCTGACAGTCATCTGATGCTAAAGTTTTGAGCAAAGATGCCATGAAATATTTAGCATTTAGAGCGTGTGCTGTAAATTACTCTCAGCTACAACCACACCAAATTATATCAAAATGTATCAATCGACTGTAACAGCTATGTTGGCTAAAATCAATCAGCTGTGCCTTCTCTCTTAAATTTGAATTGACTAAATATTATCGAGTGAAATATGTACATCCAACAACTACTTTCAAATGTGATCGATGCGTACTGTCATCATTGCGTTCCCATACGATGACAAAATTAAATTAGTCCTCTGTATTTAACCCATCACACATGAGATACACCCAGTGGAGCAGTGGTTAGCTATGTAAGAGCCCGGGGAGCAGGGGTCTTGCTCAAAGACGCCACGACATAAAGGCATGGCCGGGAATTGAATCTGTGACTTTCTGGTCCCAAGCCAGGTGCCCTACCACCGCTTCACAGCTGCCAGCTCATTGAAGGTTTCATTGAAATCCATCCTCGTGAGATAATTTGCTAACAGACGAGCAGAGTTAACGCCAACAGTTAACGCTAAAATGTTAAAGAGACTTCACGCGATCAGTTGGTGCTCAAAGCGTTGGCAATGACTCAGTGACCGACATCAAATTTTAGCTTCACATCTATAAAACTGGCTCATTTAAAGCCACTTTTGTGTTTGCAGAAGTCAATAAGCTGTGGGAAATGAATGGAGTTGAGTTCAAACTTTAATCACAAACACATTCGGTAATTACCTGATAATTAAATTAAAATCAGACCCCTGGTTTATGAAATATTTTGCTAACAAACGGGCAAAACATTATTGCCTTCGGCGGCGAGCAATAACTATAACGCCTGGAATTATTTTATAAACTGAACATGTGAGGTGTATACGACATGTGGTCACGTGACTGCCATGACCTCAACGGGTCTCAGCCGTTCCACGCATCCTGACAGAAAATGACCCCTCACCTACTTTTTCCGCCTGCGGCCAACACAAGCGAATGAATGGCAAACACTTCAAATAACCGTCTAAAGTTTCCAAACATGATTTAGTCAACAGCGCAAAGTTAGGACTTTAAGTGAAACAATCTATTCAAACTATTTATTTTGAACCTGGGCTCTTTTAGCTCCAAATGTTTCCTTAGCATCAAGCTAGTTAGCGCAGAGTACAAGCATTACACGTAAGTTTTCCGCTTATAACGAGGCTTTAAAGTTATATATTTTTCATTTAAGCTGTTATTGATAGACTTCTGTTGAAACATTAAAAAGACCGTGTTCTAGCATGCACTACCGCACATTTCTGCATAACATCCAGGCTAGCAACCACAAACCAGCTAATTTTCTGCTAAGGACACTGCTAATTGAGTATTTCTATAACTCCCCGCGCTTGTTTTCCCTGCAGATGAACCTCAAAATAGATCGATACTACCTGACATTAGAGCATATCGCCTTGCCGAAAATCTTGAGAGAATACCAAAGGCTCGAACACCAGCCATGTTGGGAGCGGAGGTCAGTCTGCAGTGGGAGTGGAGCCACAGCGGAGCTAGCTGCCCCGGATCACCACTGTCGACTCTGGAAGCTGATTGGTTCTCTCTGAACAACGACGCGTCTCATTGGTCAGTCCAAATATCTCGCATCTGATTGGACGCTACGAGTACAGCTCCCTTTATTTAAAGCCATCCACTTCAGCAAGCGGGATATTTAAAAAGTAATGTTTTTGTAATCAAACATTTTTATATATCTTTTATATATCTTTAACAAGCTGTAAGTATCGTGAATAATTGTAATTGTAAGTGAACCAAACATACTGGACATATTGGAAAGGTGGATGCAATAGCAACATGGTACCACAAGATAGAGGCAGAATTCAGTTGGATTGTCTCAAGTTTTAACAACAATAATAATAACAACAATAATATTAACACATATAATACATATTATTATTATTAATATAATATTTTACATTAATCTTTGTTTGACTAACATAGTCTAACAATAAAACAACAACATATATGTGTGTGTATATGCATATACATGTATATATATCACTTTGGTAGGCCTTGTTGCTGTTTGAAGTGCTTTATAAATAAAGTGGTATGGTCTAGTGTGGTATCTTGTTACTGAAACTGCTGGATTGTGAAGAAAGCCTTAACAGTCTTCTTATTTGATGGAATCTACTTTGAGCTACAGTCTAGAGGAACTGCTGCAGAACTAACAGGAACTGACAAGTTTCCTAAAATGCTGCTTTTGTTGCTCAATAATCACTATACCCGATGTGTTAAAACATTCAGAGCACTTGCCTTGTAGACCTCTGATAGTATCATAAATTGCTTATTTGTGAGTTGTGTCAAATCAATAACACTTTTTTTTTTTTTTTTAAGTTTAGAGGGGGCGGGTAAGTAAATTCAAACTAAAAGTACTGAGATAAACTCAAATTCATAATCTTATGAAGGTGTGTTACATTTTTATGCAAGTAAAATAAAACTTGCATATTATTATATCCAAATATATATATTTATATCAGGTCTCTCTTGTAAATGAGTCCTCGAGGCTCAATGGGATTTACCTGTAGAAATAAAGGTAGGTTGATTGATATCAAGACAGCCATCGTGTAATTATTGTATTCCCTAACATTAAACAGTTAAAAGTAGTTTACAGAGTATTATTTTGTTTAACTGTTTTAGTTAACAATGTTTAACGTATTTCATTAAATAAATCAAAAAACAGTGAGGAATTTGTATTTGAACTGTATTTAATTTTTTTATATTCTGTCTTTTGACATGGAAGTGTACGAGGCGCATTTGAAAGCAGCATTCAGACTTGGGGGTGGGCGGGACTTCAGAGCACTACAAGTTTACCAACCAATCAGAGACCAGATTTGTTCATAGCAACGCCAATCAGCGACGACGGACAGACTGGTTGCCAAAGGTAGTGTTCGTGTTTATTTGCTGCTAGAAGACGCAAGTGTTTCCTTCGAGCTTCCTTGCGGTGTGCGTTACGCACAAAATTTGGCTTATATGTCAGCCAAACTTCCCGTTTTATTGTTGTTTTAGTTTTTTCTTTTAATACCGCACACTAGCGTGAAAGGTGAAACAAATTGGGCGTGAGACGTATCTTTAAATATTAGGGACACGAAACTACAATGCCATCTCCAATGGAGGGATCTTCTCGAGAAGGTGATCTGTTTACTGTGAAACACGAGCTGAAAAATGGTAAGTTTGCTGCCAGCTGGTGGAACTTAACGCGGTACATTTTGTGTGCATTCCTTGCATGTGTATGTCAGAAGAGGACATGTTTGCATGTTAGCTAGTTGGAGGAGACGCCTGAGACTCAGGAGGCGTTAATATGAGCGCTAACTAACACTGATATTACTCAGAAACACAAGAGTACAACATTAAACCGACATCTAACAGTATTTACATTGCTGCAGGCTCTCAGTCTAAGGCTGTCTAATGATGCAGCTAGCAGCTAGCATGACTGAACTGTTAACCAGGGTAGTGTCATCATGACTGAACCAGGGTAGTGTCATCATGACTGAACCGTTAACCAGGGTAGTGTC